CCCACCGATTCTACATCACTGCCTGTTTAGCTCCGCCCACCGATTCTACATCACTGCCTGTTTAGCTCCGCCCACCGATTCTACATCACTGCCTGTTTAGCTCCGCCCACCGATTCTACATCACTGCCTGTTTAGCTCCGCCCACCGATTCTACATCACTGCCTGTTTAGCCCCGCCCACCGATTCTACATCACTGCCCCACCCACTGATTCTACATCACTGCCTGTTTAGCCCCGCCCACCGATTCTACATCACTGCTTGTTTAGCCCCGCCTTCCGATTCACGCACGTAGTGTTTATGAGAGAGGCGAATGCAGGTCTATGCAGAAACCAAATGATAAAGATGCTCCCAAGACAACAAGATGCTGTTCAGTGCCAAGTTGTGGAAAAACAGTCTTTGCATTGCCTTCCTTCTTATCCCAACGTTAGGAAAGAGTGGATGAACTTTATTTTTAATGAAGATCCAAACCGCATCAGTAAGAACTTGGTCCTTTGTTAAATTCATTGTACTGCGGATTCGTTTACAAACAAGGCACAATTCGACGCGGGATTTTCAGAAAGATTCAAACTAAAAGACTGTGCCAGCTATATTGGATCCGACAGTAATGTCGCAAGACACAAGTGTGAGTAACTATTTTTATTATGTGGTCACTATTGCTTATCGTTTGATAAGTATTGAGTATTTATGCATTTTTAACCTAAATCACAGCAGCGTTCATCTATGGAGGATGCACGCTGTCAAACACAGACAACTATTAGCCAATAATAGCAGTGTGCTTTTACTTCAGAGTCTACAATCCTCTACGCCTATTCAAACAGAACTTCTGATGAGTGGGGTCAAAAACAGGACAGAAAATAGCTTTTACTTAAATTATGTTTCTTACGTAAAAATCTTGATAACATTATAAGTGGACCAGTTCATGACCACTTTAAGGCCATCAGATTAGATTTCACTTCAATATCAGAAAAAAAAGCTTTATTTTTATGGGCTTTCTTATTTCTTCTATTGAGATAGGACAGTAGAGAGACAACAGGAAAGCATTGGGTGGAGAGAGGGGAGCAGGATCCGCAAAGGACCTAACAAACTCGGGTCGCCGTGAGAGCAGTTGCGATGTATGTCAACGCACTAACCTTGAAGCTCTCGGCACCAATGAAAAAAGCATTATAATATTGAAAATAAAGTGCATTATCTCTATTTTTACACTGTAAAAATTACATTTAAGATATTTAATCCCATTTCTATAGTTAACTAATAGTTACTAACTCATATATACAGTGTATATATGAGTTAGTATATATATATACACAGTGAATAACGTGATCAAGCCAATGTTTTGGAACAAATGACCCAGCAGAATAAGAATGATTGATCAGATTGTTTATATAATTATCACAGTCTCTGACCACAGACTTAAAAGTTGATGGCTGGAGGGTAAAAAATGCTAACAGGTATTTCCTTCCTATAAAACAATTAACAGTGTTATTATTTAATTAGTGTTTCCTACAAACGTATGTAAGTGTGAGACTTCACACGCATGGCTACAGGCTATTACTGGTATATCAGTAATCCAAAAAACAAAATTAATTCTCCCTTTAAGATTTTATTTGTTTCTATGATTTTTCCATGGACACCCTATGGTGTATAACCAAAACGTTGGCAAAATAGTCTCAATCGTTTGTGCTCCGTTTGTGCTGGTTTGTGCTGTAAACATTTTAATTTGTGCTGCTTTGGTTTTTTAGATATTAAAATAATATTTATAGGTCATTCTGAGGTCACTCAGCCCCCCAACATACTCCAAATTCACCCCAAATAGTCTTGTTTGTTTGTGCTTCATTTGTGCTGGGTTGTGCAGGTAAAAGTTTTGTTTGTGCTGCTTCGGTTTTTAAAATATTAGACATTGAATTATAT